TATAAGTATATATTTGGATGCATTTTCCTATGTATTTGTAATAGAATTTAGATTAGCCGTAAATGCAGGTAAATCTTTATCTGCAGAGTAGACTAATTAATGATGGATAAGTATATAGATACCTTTTTCTAGAAACCGGTTTAAAAGAGGATGAAAGTGTATGCAAAATGAATAGCTCATTTTTGTACTTGACATATGGTAGACTAATAATTACTGATTCAGTTCATTTCAATACTGGATAAAAAGCTTTTCAGTAAAAACTGCCAATGAAGATGGTATTTACATTATTTTTATCTTTGAAAGTAGTCACATTTTTACTTTTAACAACAAAAAACAATACCTAAATGAGTAGACTTAAATGTAGCTAAGTATTAGTGAAGTGAAAATTAGTAGAACAGAAAAATCTGCTAAGTAATTTAAATCTTAGTATCAGCTCATTTAATTGATACTTGTTTATGCAGAAAATATGTATTTCCAATATTATTTACTAAAGTTCTGGTTGTTATTCTGTTATTACATTCCTGTACATTTCAGCAATTGTAGAGACAACACAAATCTATGCTTCTACTTTAATATAACAGAATAATCAAATATGTGCATGTAAATTTAAGAGCATTATTTTAATTTTCTTTCCTGTGTCATACAGAATAAAATGTTCAATCAGTTTTCTTCCTAGAAGTTGATGTAAAAATGCCTCAAATTATAATATTTATTTTTCCCTTTCTTGTGTCTACTTTTTCTGATCTGCCAGATCCAATAAATAAATGACATTATTCAGATGTAAAAGAACTACAAGAGGATGGGAGGGAAAAAGTGTTTGCATTTAACATTTTCTTTTTGCAATTTAAACTTTCAGACAGATTTCATCATAATTGCAGATGACATATAAAGAATATTTGAAAAGCCTGTCGAGTCCTTTTATGATCTTTTAATAATGTCAATATTCTAACTGACCTGTAGATATTGACAATGTTTGCTTTTATCTTTGTAGCAAACATACTATCAGTCATGCTGCAGTTGGACTGATATCAATAATAACATTTCATGACATCATCTGTCATGTTACATATTTCAGTGATTCACTTCAGAAGCCGAAAAGAAACTTCAATATGGCTAACTGCATCACTAGTTTTGAAGATGCCATATTCACATCAGATGGCAGTTTGCTGCTCATCCAACTGAAATCAATGCTATCATGCAAATTATATTTCAAACTACTTCACACACTGTTAATGAAAAAGAAGCAGCAATTAGATATTGCATACTTTATTTGAATGCCATCTCAACAAAGTTGAAAAGCATTAACTCACACATTTATTCAAGGAATTGGTCATCACTTGAACCTCAAATGCCTAAAAAGCCATAAGATAACAGTCAATAATACTAGTGAATCAAATCAAGCAATATAGTTGAAAGAAGAAACAATTACTCCAAACAATAATAGAACACATGATAGATACAGATAAAAAAGGCAGTGAAAGAAACCTAGGAAATGAATATGTAGATAGACTGACAAACAATAGTCTACTGAATCTTAAAATAAGAAGAGTGAAAGCTAATTTTGTGCATTCTATCCAAGTGGATTTTGTTTGAAATTAAAGATGCAAAAAAATATAAATACTATCATAGCAGAATATTTTGGACATTAAATACTCACTTGCATAATTATAATGCAATCTACTTTGGAATCCATGCTTGAATTTATGCAAAATTTAAAAGTTGTAAATAGTTATATCATAACTATTTAAAATAATAATGACATTTCTGAAATATTTTTTTAGTTTTCCATTTTATTTAATTAGCAAATAATCTGAAATTTTTCTCAATAAAAATATCCTGATTTATATAAAACAATTCATAAAATCAAACAAAAAGTTTTTTTCATGTGTATAGAATATGTATATATTTTTACTCAGAGTTTTCTTCCCTGCTATTAATTGTTATATCACCACACACACAACAAAAACAAATTTTAAATATGCCATATTTCAATTTAAAATAATTTGAGATTGTTTCTACTAACTAGAGATGTAAATCGGATGGGACTAAAGCGGAGATCATCATCAAGGGTAAATTCTTGATTCAATCACCTAATACTGCTTATAATTCTGTTGTCAGGAATATATTTTCTTGCCATGACTGAGTTTGGTTACTCAATGACTAGTAAGTTGTTACTACAAATGTATATATTTACTAGTAAGAAACAAATGATATTCATAAAATTTTACATTAAGCAGATTTCTATTTTAGTATTGTTAACAGCAAATCATTTTTATTAAAATACTATTCAGAAGAACATTAATATTCATAAAACAATATAATTTTTCTTCAATTAAGGCATAATAATTTTCTGTTTAATACTATTAAAAAATATTTTCATTACTTTTATACAACATGACAATAACTATATTATACACCTTCACATGTTACTGGCTTAATGTATATTATATAATCATTATTGGAATACTGATGTAAGTTTATTAATATCTATATACAAGAAATTCATGTAATAACTTTGTAGTGAGGCCCACTGCTTGAAAATATCATCCCATAAGAATAAGTACCATACCTGTATAAGACACATTTGATCAGTGTTGAATCTATACAAAATTGTTTTATTTTGTATTTCAAATTAATGAAATTAGCAAGGAACAGAATCAAGTTTGATATTCTCACAAAATTTTCAGTTAAAATTATTGGATTAATCCAAATGATTATTCTATGTTCGCAGTAAGATGGCATTAGGAATGTCTAATGTTAACTTCTTAACTATTAGGTAAGCTTGGCTACATGAAAAAGCCCAGTCGATATTGAAACAAACAGCTTGTATGTTAACAGAAAATGAATTAAATGAATAAAGCAACATAGAAAGAGAAATGTAACTAAATTACATTTTTCTCACCAGATTTATTTAATGTGTACAGTGAAATGATTCTAATGGAATCAGGACATGCCAGACTTTCTTATTGGTGGATATAATCTGAATAACATGTTACACAACTGTGTGGCATATGTTAAATTTGATGGCTGATTCAGAAAAAAAAATTATTAGACTATGTAGTCAAGGAAAGCAAGAACTACTAAACAATAATTGTAAGACAGAAAGCCTAGTGTGACACAAAAAATCAGTATGAGTTATACATCAGGAGTGTTAGACTCAAATGAATATGGAAATCAGGGTAGTGTACAAGGTGTTGAAAAGTTTCAAACCTGATCAAGAAAAAGAAATCTGACATTTGGTTATTTGAACAGATCTGGAGAACTGGGTTGGGTCAAGAACTTTTCAACAAATTCTTGTAATTACAAGCTATGCAAAGTGTGACACAAAAATTCAAAGATGCATATAGAATAGTATAGAATACTTTACAGAAGTGGAATAAGGTAGGTATGACCATGGATTTGTTAAATATAATTTTAAAATATATTGCAATAAATAAAATATCTTCTTTAAAGTTTTATTTTTGTTTTTAATTGCAAGAAAATAGTATAAAATTAGTTGATAAAAAGAAAAAAATATATTTGTGTGTTAGCATGCTCAAGGGCCCTCTTTCAGCTTTTTGGACAAATTGTGTGTCAATTCCATTTTTGTGTCAGTGTGCACAAAAACTGGGAAAGGCCAAGTGTATGTTCATAAGGAAATGAAAGCATGTGATAAATAAGGAAGTCTTAATGAGAATAGAAGGTTCAAAGTAACTGTTGCTAATAATTAGAAAGACAGTTGAAATCTTTGGGACACATAATAAAGAATGAATGCTTGGAGAATTTAACACATTCAAGGTACACTGAAATCAATAAAAAAGATAGCCGTAACAAGTGACCTACTTGACAATTTTGTGTAAATAGATGAAGGAACCAGGAGCACAAAGATAAAGTGTTATGAAAGAGTAAATATTGTTGAAAACAACAAAAGATAAAAACCTGTAGAGAATCATGACCACCCACGTCCTGAATAGACTTGGTACATAGAGAGATAGATTTAATTAATTTCATTTAAAAAGATTATTTTGATTGTGTGTGACAGTCATCATACCAGCAAGCATTTTTAAAAATAACTGTCAAAATTATCATGTTTTTTTTATTCTCGCATTAAAAGTATATTTTGTTTTCTTAAGAAATGTGACATCATAAATGCAAAAAGAGATTGTGCACTGTTAATAATCAAAAGGTTAAAGGTTGTATTAAAGATATCTCATTGAATGATGATCCATAGTTAATTAAACTAGTTCATAATGATCAAACCAAGATGCTACTTGACAAGGTGGGAGATTATATAGTCAAAACAATTTAAATATTCAAATCAATCATTGAAAATCATTTGCACCAGTTTGGTTATGCTAAATACTTTGATGTGTGGCTTCACATAAATAAAAAACACAACTGGACTATACTACTGTGTGCTACTTAAACTTTATGAAAAGTGGAATGTAAGATTGTAGAGTCAGTGAAACGAACCATTTCTACAGAGGCTGGTTTCCAACTAAACAATATTATAGGTTTGGAGGGTGTCTTCCAGAGAACCAGACAACTGACTTAATCATATACAGCTCCCAATGTGATCAAAATAACCATCAACAAAAAGCCTATCTAATTAGTTAAGAAAAGGAAATATTCTACAAGAATAATATTAGTTATATTAGTTCACAAGGCCAAAATTTGTTACATCTTGGTTGAAAATGTTCATTCATCAATTATATACACCAGATATTATTACTTTCAGATTAATGTTTCCTTACAGAATTCTCTTAATACAATTTAACTCTCTGTTGGCCTAGAACAGTTCTTTGCAGAGAAAGATAAAAAAAAAAGTTGGTAGAGGATGAATTTGCCTGAAAAATGGCAGAAAATATTAAAAGAAAATGGTAAGTTTAATGAAGTTAATGCCAGCAATTTAAATAAAAAAGAAAAGTCTTTTCATTTCATTTAATAATCTAAATTAACTATTTAGTTACCCAATAGTAACAGTCAATTAAAAAAAAAAAAAATCAGAAGATATTTCTTACCTGTATATATAACACTGGGAAGCAGTAGCAACCACAAGATGGCCAAATGAAAATGAAACTTTGATAATGCGATTCCGAAAATCCAGCATTTCTTTTGTATCACTGAGAACATTTCGCACATTGATTTGATAGTTGCTAATGACAGTTGCATCAAAGTTTTTCCACTCTAGGTGCCTGATATTTGGAAAGCAAATACATTTTTTTAAAATCAATATTCAAAAGAAAAAAATATAAACAATTTTCAATTTGTTAAGAAGATAAATTTAAATGAATAATGAAGCAATAAAATGTTATCAGTTCGTAAGATTTTTAATTTTTTTAAATCTTTAATCTTGATCAATCAATGTAAAATAACTAAAATGCATTAATTTAGAACATGTATGTAAGCACATTCAATTACTTATTAGACAATGAAACATAATACAGAACCTGGTTTCACTGATTAAAATTGAAAAAAAAAATACCAAAATTTTTCCAAGTACTTTCAATCTCATCTATGACCATTTCCAGGATTTATTTTCTGCATTGTTCATTTTACTACATTTTTCAGTGTTCCAGGGTCAAATTCAAATTCAAGAAAATGTTTTTGTTATGCAAGGGACATAACTTTTATATTTATTTATTGTTACACATATATGAATAACTTTGGTGCAACAAACATTTAAGAACTTCATAGATGAACGTTTTTATTTTTGGCTTTAAATCTCTAATATAAAGAACTTCTATAATTAAAAGATTTTGTTTTATCTTGATAAGGTATTAATGAATTTCAACGAATATCTGTGAATATGGACATAAGTCATCCTTTAAATGCACTGAGATTGTAGGTTATCCTTCTCATCAACTATCGCTGTTGTAACACCAATATATATATATATATATATATATATATATATATATAACATTTTTATCAGACATGCAAACAGCCAAGAAATATTTAAATTGATATAGCATGTTGGTCTTTCGTAATGTGCTACTTGATAGAGAAGAATTGATTTGGATGACTAGGTTGGGTGTATTAAATATAGCATAGTACATGATTGATTTTATGTTTTTTGCTGAGATCAGTGGGGAAAATATTAGTCTTTTTAGAATTTTTACATTCTGATACATACATTTTATATATATATATATATATATATATATATATATGAGAGGTATGGTGGAGTAATGGGAAGTGGCCTGGATTGAAAATTCAGAGAGCTGCGCTCAAATTCCAGTCTATACATTACAATCACTTACGTTCTAATATCCTTACGAAAGGTACAACTCCTGCTCTAGTGCATATAAATAAATATATATATATATATATATATATATACACACACACATACACATATATTTTAAGACATTTTTATGTTTATACATTCTTTTTATAGATACAAATATTTAAGTAAGTGCTCTGTTTATAATAAACAGTATTAAACAACATTTACTGGCCTGAATGTCTGAGAAATTTTTAGAGAAAATATTCGTCCTCCGACAGGATTCGAACCTGTATCCTATACGGAACCGTCATTTAAAATAAACTAATTAATAAATTGATAAGGTTACTATATAGTGTGTGTGTATATATATATATATATATATATATATATATATATATATATATATATAAAGGCTCCACTTAAATATAAATGTAACGGCTCCACTTTTGTATGGAGCACTAAAATACGAAAGAACTTAGGATTTTTTACCTAACGTGTTCTTTCCTATATGTCTGCACACATATATGGGTATGGGTATGTGTGTGTGTATATATATATATATATATATATATATATATATATATATAGAAAAATATATGGAAAAAACAAAAATCCTGAATATGCAGTTATGCTGTTTTAATGTTAATTTAATATCAACGTCAGACGTTTCGGTCTAGTAGACCTTCTTCAGGACATAGTTATTAAAACATAATTAACATTAGACGATATTCAAGTCAACATGAAAAGACGATGGACATAAGTGTAAGACTAATCAAAACAGAATAAGTGAAATTTTTAAGATCAGTGTTCCGTTTCACAATATGAACACGTCAGCGTCATGTGGGCGATGTTGTGAAAATGTATTCCTAAAATAGAGTATATTTTAAATGAAAAATGAAAAAGAATTTTATTTTAATCTAAAATTTATAAGTACGTTTGACGAGCATTAATCTTGCTAGAAAAGGGGAAATATTAAAAAAGCCGGGTCTAGTATTCACTGTGTGTCGACATTAAATTAACATTAAAACAGCATAATTCCATATTCAGATTTTTGTTTTTCCATATATTTTTCTTCATACTGTCGGGTCTATATCCATATATTTGCTTATATATATATATATATATATATATATATATGTACATATATATGTGTGTGTGTGTATATATATATATATATTGTATATTTATCTACGTATGTGTGTGTATATATATATTGTATATATATGGGTGTGTATATATATTTTGTATATATGTGTGTGTGTATATATATTGTGTATATATGTGTGTGTGTG